AAAAACAGACACAAACCAACACCATCAGTAGCATACGAAAAGTATCATACAAAAACAGACACAAACCAACACCATCAGTAGCATACGAAAAGTATCATACAAAAACAGACACAAACCAACACCATCAGTAGCATCTATGTGGTACTTTAAGAAACAAACTCCAGACCGCCACTTCAATAAGTAGCGTATACAAAGTATCATACAAAAACATGCACTGATCACTACCACTAGTACCATCTATATAGTACAGAGCACCATCTCTGTCATTAGACTACATATTAGATTTTAAGCAACAACACCCACAGCACCACTTTCATCAGTACCAACACCGTAGTATTTTTAAGAAAATAAACAAAGTATCAAATCCAGTAGCATCTACAAGTATTATTTAAGAAACCAGGTACTGCCCATCACCACCATTAGCAGCATTTGTAACGTATCATGCGTTAAACTAAGTGTTCTTCAAAGATTAACAAGGAAAAGATGACGTATCGGCTCATTAATTTTTGTGTCTTACTCTGAGGTGTACACTATGTATATATGTTGAACATTAGTATAATCTGAATATAGGAAGCTAGTAACATGGATTACAGTATTTGATACGATGCAACTTACAACTTGATATTAACTTAATTTGTGTTTAGGACATGTTTAGTTATGAGTGATCGTCGAAGGATATGTTCAGTTGTGAATAATCCTTGGAGGATATTTCCAGTTGTGAATGATCCTAGGGGAATATCTCCAGTTGTGAATGATACTAGGAGAATATGTTTACTTATGAATGATCCTCAGAGGATATGCCCAGTTGTGAATGATCCTAGGGGAATATGTCCAGTTGTGAATAATACTAGGAGAATATGTTTACTTATGAATGATCGTAGAAGGATATGTTCAGTTGTGAATGATCCTCAGAGGATATGGTTAGTTGTGAATGATCCTCAGAGGATATGCCCAGTTGTGAATGATCCTAGGGGAATATGTCCAGTTGTGAATAATACTAGGAGAATATGTTTACTTATGAATGATCGTAGAAGGATATGTTCAGTTGTGAATGATCCTCAGAGGATATGTTTAGTTGTGAAATGATTCTAGGAAGATATGTCCAGTTGTGAATGATCCTCAGAGGATATGTTCAACTGTGAATGATTCTAGGAAGATATGTCCAGTTGTGAATGATCCTCAGAGGATATGTTTAGTTGTGAATGATCCTAGGAGGATATGTTTAGTTGTAAATGATCCATATAAAATTTGCTTAGTAACTTTCGATTTTTTCCTCCATACTTGAAATATAGCTACACAACTATCAGCTATCTGTTTCTATTTAACAGAGAAACCATATGGTTTACTACCATTAAGTATGATTTGAAAGTGATTGAATTTAAAAAACGATCACCTCAGCGTTCAATTTATATTTGGTTGAAATCATGTCTTTTTCCAGGCGTTTTGTATAATCTCTGATATCCTAACGCACAAAAACGTAGATCTCTCTTCATCGCGGAAAATTACAAATTACTTGAGCAGATTCCTACTCAACTGGTTAGTCGTTACAAGATTTGATCAACAATATGTTATCCAACAGTGCTTATTATTTGTCAAATATAGCTATAAAAGATTGATAGTAAACAATATACAAACAGATAGACAAATGATCCACCAATCCAGCACTGACTTCAACAGCTTGATACATCATTAACAGATATTTACTGCAGATGAATTAATCAGATTAATCAGTTCTTTGGCCCACACCTGTTTAGTTGTAACAACTTGACCTTATCTGTTTAATATTTTACAACTTAATACACTCCTGTTTAATATGAACAACTTGACACGCGTATGTTTAATACTTACAGCTTGACCTCCGCCTTATTAATACTTACAGCAGGGAAGTTTATACCAAGGAACACAAAAGCTGAGAATTCCCATCCAAGCATGTAGGGGTCGTCGATATGAAGCGGGAAGCAAAGCCCGTTGCTGGAGTAGAATCTCCTGTCATGTGGCCATGTGATAACAGGGAATAAAGCTAGGACTAGACCACTCAACCAGATTCCTATCAAGCTGTAGCGAGCAGCGTTTGCCGTGATTCTGTGGCTGTTACACTTGAAGCAAAGGTATCTGTCCATCGTCATAAGGCTTAGGATGAGGATGGACGTCTCACACGACACCATAGCCAGCATGCCGCAGGCTGTGCAACCCCAGCTGGCCATCCATTGGTGAGCATGATGGTTGTACTCGTCTCTGAAAGCTATATCTTTGGCCCCGACGACTACAAGGTATACTCCCATTAAAAGGTCAGCCACTGAAAAAAGTAAAATTTTGTTAAAACAAAGATTCATGTTATAACAGTAACAGTTTCTAACCTCTTCGGTTATTACATATGTACCCAATGGATGAGGCTTCACCTGACACCTTAAGAAGTTATCTATTGTGCGTACTTTTAATACTTAGTATTAACCGAAAATTTAGATCTATTTTATTCAATACGAAGAACAAATAATTATATAGATTATTTTGTATTTAATATACGAACAGCTTTGAGCTTTAAACCTTATGCATCACAATGTAGAACATGTATTAACCAACCAAATGTGGAACTATTTTTATTACACATCTTAATGTAGGTCGTGTATTGATCAACCAAATGTGGAACGATTTTTATTATACATCACAACGTACAACATGTATTAACCAACCAAATGTAGAACTATTTTTATTACACATCTTAATGTAGGTCGTGTATTGATCAACCAAATGTGGAACGGTTTTTATTATACATCACAACGTACAACATGTATTAACCAACCAAATGTGGAACTATTTTTTATTACACATCTTAATGTAGGTCGTATATTGATCAACCAAATGTGGAACGGTTTTTATTATACATCACAACGTACAACATGTATTAACCAACCAAATGTGGTGTGATTTTTAATTATAGATTGTAATGTAGGACGTGTATTAACCAACCAAATGTGGTGTGATTTCTATTATACATTGTAATGTAGGACGTGTATTAACCAACCGTATAATAGAAATCACACCACATTTATCACAATGTAGGACGTGTATTAACCAACCAAATGTGGTGTGATTTTTATTATACATCACAATGCTGGACATGTATTAACCAACTAAATGTGGTGTGATTTCTATTATACACCGTAATGTAGGACGTGTATTAACCAACCAAATGTGGTGTGATTTCTATTATACACCGTAATGTAGGACGTGTATTAACCAACCAAATGTGGTGTGATTTTTATTATACATCGTAATGTAGGACGTGTATTAACCAACCAAATGTGGTGTGATTTCTATTATACATCACAATGTTGGTCGTCTATTAACCAACCAAATGTGGAACGATTTTTATTATACATCACAATGTTGGTCGTCTATTAACCAACCAAATGTGGTGTGGTTTTTATTATACATCACAATGTTGGAAGTCTATCAACCAACCAAATGACTTTTACTGATGGAAACTAACGAACAAAATGTATTTCGTCTTATTACCTTGCACTTCAAAGATATATTTAGCGATGCACCATTTAGAAGAACACACTGTATTTGCTAACCACCGCAATTTTAGAAATATCTTTACGTTTTATAATGAAACGAGAAAATAATTTTGCCAATCACTACATTATATTTCAACCATTGTATTTCAACCATTGTATTTCAACCATTGTATTTCAACCTTTTATTCACTGGTAGAGACAACAGATTTTGAAGGTGTTGCGCTTTATTTAACACTCGTTAGAAAGCTCTGGCTGCTAACTAAGGTACAGAACTTTGAAAACTTAACATCCGGTACAATGACGAAATAACAATTGAACTGATAGGTTTCATAGCACTAAGAACAGTTGAAATGATAGGTTTCATATCACTAAGAACAGTTGAACTGATAGGTTTCATATCACTAAGAACAGTTGAACTGATAGGTTTCATATCACTAAGAACAGTTGAACTGATAGGTTTCATAGCACTAAGAACAGTTGAACTGATAGGTTTCATAGCACTAAGAACAGTTGAATTGATAGGTTTCATAGCACTAAG